CCGCAGTTTGAGACACAAATTTTGTTCACAGACGAAGCAAATTTTTCTCGGAATGCCATTCAAAATTTCCATAACAATCATGTGTGGGCTGAAGAAAATCCCCATGCAATAACCGAAACCCATTTCCAACACCAATTTTCGGTTAATGTATGGGCAGGAATTATAGGTGATCATCTAATAGGCCCATTTTTTCTAGCAGGACGCCTTGATGGTCGTTCTTATTTACACTTTCTCGAAGAAGACTTATCTGGGTTATTGGAAGATGTGCCACTTGCGTTAAGGAATCGAATATGGTACATGCACGATGGCGCCCCTGCTCATTAACAAATGTGTGCTATTCGTTTAGACTTACTGTCACAAAATATTGTCAATATTCAAAGTGGTCATTTTTGTAAATATATTTTCAGGCCTATAAATTTTCAATTTAATACAGAAATGAAATACAATACATCTCTAGGAAACGATCATTAGACTTGTTTCTCAACAATTTAGTTTCTAACGTAGTTGTTTTTATAAACTTTGTCAAATTATAATCTTCAACTTGTTCATGGACTATGTTCATGGACTGTGAAAACTAGGCGTTGATTACTTCATTGTTTCATATCCGAAAATACTCTCTTAGTACCTCAACTTTGAATATTTACAGCTTATCACCAGTTTCTAAGCACATCTGTGTGTGCAAGAATAAACTTGATAAATATTTTTCTCTCTTTATTTTCCGCCTGTCGCTATAGTGACACTTTAGCGTTAGTGCTGCTGAGTTTTACAAATATTTAAATTTTAGAACTAACGAAGATGGTCAACTTGAAGCTATACCAGATACCATTCAATTGTTACCTTATGAAACCGATCATAATCAAGAGACTATTGGGGACGGAACTGAGGAAGTAGGTACCTTACAGGAACAGATACATACAGATGAAGAACAAGTACTTCATAATCAAGTTTTTGTTTCTGAAGAAACCGAGAGCAACACAATATATCCTTCTGATCTCCTTCAAGAACAGGAAGTTATCCTTACTGAAAATGAAAATGACAACCAGATAGACAATCAGAGTGTTGGATTATCTGAGAATACTTTGCTAGTACTTCTCAAGAATGATCTAGTTTTACAAGGAGTAGAAAATGTCAGCGGATGTGCAATAGAAGATAAAGAAGATAATCTGGAATCAGATTTTATAGAGGATGAGATAATTGACGTGAAGCCAGGTGAGTAAAACTCTCTCATTGAAGTGTTCTGAGTTTGTTTCCTAAAAAATTATGACTCACACATATCTGTAGGTGTATTTTTGTTCGAATATAGTTGACAGAGTTTCTTAGTGGTTTGGACAAAAATATAAACCCTTTTTGCAATATATGTACGTAACAAGTCATAAACATAAGTATATTATGAGGGTGGAAAAAATCCCCAATGTATTGGAATCAAAATTTTATTCTCAATGAAGCATCACATTAAAAATGTCTGATATCTTATTATAATCATGGGTCCCGAAAACAAAACATCCAAGTAGTGTATTGAGATCCTAATGAAAAGAGAAGATGAAGGTACAATTAAATTGTGACAAAGTTGCTTTTAACAAAGCATTTCTTTTGGTTTCGAAAGTAAACACAAAAAATACTAAATATTTATATTGTTGATAATTATTTTTTTTTGAAATAATGAAATATAATTGAAGTACAACATTCCGATAACGTGAATGTTATATATTCAAGATCACTTGTGATTTTAAAATTTAAACTGCAGATCTGTAAATTTTTTATACAAATGTTCGTTCTCCCTAACCTACACAGCTATATGGTGTACTATGTATTCTCATCAGAAAAGTGGCCGATTCTCTAATTGATCTGCTCATGTATTCTATTAATTGGTCATTTGACTAGGGATAACTTTCAAATGAAGTAAAAACTACTTTGGTTGTACCTATACTTGAAGAGGATGCCAGTAAAAAAATGAATTATCATCCAGTAGCATTATTGTCCATCTTTTCAAAAACCTTGAAAATACATACTGTGATAGTTTGATAACATACTTTTTCATTGACTTGATTTTGGGGGTTTCCTTCTTCCAAACGAATAAAACAAATACAAATTATAATTGTTAATGTTTGAATTAAGAAAAATGTTCTATTCAATAATAATAATAACAATAAAATGTCTTTATTCACCTAATGTAGGTAAGGTTGGGTTAGGTCCAAAGTGAGTGGGTCTATTCGACCCTCCACAGTAACTCGCAAGGGTTTATTGTGGCACACACCTATTCACACTCGACCAAATAAAGCCTATTAGTTTGAATGGTGAGTGGTCTTTAAGGTCAGATGGTAAGAGTACAGCTCTGTCGAACTCTAAAAACCTGATTCGGTCCCCAGCGGGGCAGGCACAAAGTATGTGCTCTGCTGTTTCATCATTTTCCAAACAGAGGCTACACACACCGTCTTCCAACAGTCCGAGTCTCTGCATATGATGATTCAAATGATGGTGACCTGTAAGAAGGCCTGGTTGACATCGTAGTTCATCCCTACTGTAGTCCAACAACTGTTTGGTATGAAGCTTCGTAGAGAGCCAATCCTGGAAAATTCTGCACCTAATGTAACAAGCATAAAGAAACAATATACGAAAAATATTGAGGTGACTAGGCGGAGTATCAGCAAAGCTGTTTTTAAACTCAACCCTCAAACTGAGAAAAAAAAACAATACATACATACAGTTACAATAAATAGTTAATATTCATTGTTTTACCTAAACTAATTAGCCAGCGTCAACATGTGAAAAATGAGATGATCAAATAAATGCAAGAGGGCTATATGTTGTTGGATAACCAATACTTTTTGGGCTGTGATTACAAATAATTTTGGAATTGTTTAAGAAACTCAGTTATTAATCGATTTGGAAAATTTCGTGGAAAATGTTTGGAAATTGCGATTGTATTGTATGTGAAAAACATATTTTTAATCGTTGTCCGAGTTCTTGTCATGTAACCTTTGCATATGTATGTATATCTAGTTTATATTTTATTTTAATCATTTACATTTAATACATTTATACTTCATGTCTATATTAAAATTTATTTATGACATTGTGTTTGTAACAAGAATTCTATTCTCAAACAATAAACATATTATCAATCAATCAATCAATCAATCAAATCAACAGGAGACACCTTGAAACTGAAAATATTTTAAAAACGTTTATTGAAAAGGTAAACAAAAAAGTCAAACAAAATGAAAAAACCCTTTTGGCTTTCGTATAATGGAAGAAAGCAATCAAGTTCAAAATGAACTATTAGCAAAGATGTGTACATTATGCACAGAGGTTTCTTTCAGATTCAAACTTGAAGAAAAGGCCCTCTTGAAAAAACTACTTTCACGTGAATATTACATTACACGTTATTGTTATTGAATTGAAACAGTTTTAATGCACAGAAAAACTATACCACATGATAAACGGAATAGTGTTGATATAAAATTTCACTTACATGGAAATGCAGCATCCTTAAGATCTCTCCTTTCAAAATTGAAAGGATATATTTTTAGGAGTGATTAATTTTTAGGAAAGAAAGTTTTTGGCCTTCTCCATCTTGATACAAAAAATGCGTGAATCTTCCAAAGGAAGGAAGAAAGCAATCAATTTCAAAAAATCAACCCCATACAAAGATGTATAGATCATGCAAAGAAGTAACTTTCAGACACAAACTGGAAGAAAAAGCCTTTTCGAAACAGCTATTTTCATATGAACATTGAATTATAATTTAATCAAATAAATCATTTTTATAAAATCAAGTAAAGGATCTTAAATAATTCTTCAATTGGGAACTGTGGTCATAGTATTCACATTGGTATCCAATAATAGTTTAAACAATATTTTAAGACATATTTGAAATCAATATGGTTTGAAGTGTTTGAAAGTTTATATTGTCTTCCCAAGAGGTTGAAAACATCCAAAATTCATTCTTAATTGGTATATGTTTGGTCATAATATTTACGTGTAAAAAAAATCACATACACAACTTTTCAAGTTGTACAAAGAATGCGGTTTTATTTCACTTCAAGAAAATTATTATATTGTATTTAAACATATAGAGTGGTCCAACGAAAAGTATTTCCTCCAAGCTGATCAGATATTAATGAATTGTTACAAAAAACTGATTGGATATATTATTTCAATTTTGAGGGGTCAATAGTTTCTGTGTACTCTCAACCATGTCACCTTCAACCACTAGCGGGGGTGATTTGCAACCCCTAAATCTTGTTAATAAATGTATGTTTTTGAATCTTTTTCTGTTGGTTTCTTGATTTTGTGACAATGAAATTTTTAACAATTATTCAGGGATTGTCGAACTACAAAAAGCTTATCCGGAGGCGGACCCTTCCGACATCAAACAGGAATATCATGAAAATGAAGGCAAATCGTTTCAAACTGAAGAAACTGCAAAAATACCATGTGAAAATGAAAATGCAGTTCAAGAAGAAACTGTTACAGCTGATCCACTTCAATACCATTCGGAAGGTAGAGTGAACTACTTTTTTTTTCATTTTTTTAATGATTTGTGAATGAGTCACTAATTTTAGAATCCAATTGGATTCAAAATTTTGGTTTTTCAAACACCTACATTGATTTTGGCATTGTAGTTATTTTTTTTATATTAAAAATGAGGTGTTAGATTAGGAATCACACGTTAAAAGGTAAGACCTCGTTAGTCCTTATCTCGCACAAGTTTCGACTTCTGAGGGTTGTCGTTCGTAGGGGTGCGACAGCTGGTTAACGGAAAAACAGATTTTTAAATAGGTTTTTGAAATGGATTTTTGTAACAACTAGTTGTCGTCCCCTATAAATGACAACACTCAGGAGTCGAAACTTGTACGAGGTAAGGCTTTATGAGGCCTTTCCTTTGTGAAAACCTGGTATAGCCGAAATTCATTAAAAAATAAATTGACTTTCAATATTGGGAGGATAGTTGATATATACTTCTCAAAGTAAATATTTCAGAATATTTCAGAAAAATTCTCAGGAACGTCGATTCTTATTTTTGAAATTTCCATTTGGACATGAAATTTCCAATCCTCCACGTGTTCACCCTCAAGAAATGACAACTTCAACTTGAGAAATTGAAATGCTTAAGTTTTCCAAGTGATAGATATGGGGTCGAGATTAGATACCAGTATATCTCAGCATAATTGCTTTTCTCAAAGTAGAAACTTGTTCGCACATCCGCAACGTTTAATCAATAATAATAATAATAATAATATTTATTCATCCTTAAAGACGTTGACAAACGTTTAGGATAGGTCAGTATTAAGCACATATAAATTTATACAATAAAAGTCAGAATCACAAAAATTAAAACAATTGTAGTTATGAAAATTGAATATGTCATGCCAAAGCCGCATGAAGCCATTCAGTCGAGATGGTCCGAGAGAAATTCACCAGTACTATAGTAGGCCTTAGAAAGAAGCAATTTTTTAAATGCTACAGTGTTCATCTGTTTGAAATGGTCTGGTAACCGATTGAATAATTTTATTCCCATATATTTAGGAGAATATTCGAATTTTATAGTTTTATGTTTAGGAATGCTCAACTCCTCTGCATATCGAGTTGGGTAGCTATGATAGAACGAGTTTTTAGTACAGTTTGTTATACATTCGCAAAGATATAAAAGTATTTCAAAGATGTAGATGCAGGAAAAGGTTAAAATTTGATGACTAATGAAAAATGTCTTGCATGATTCCCTTCAAGGGATGCCTAGTAATTTTTTAATAACTTTTTCAAGCAATGAAAACCCTATCTTTGTCAACACTGTTTCCCCATAGGATCACATTATAACTTAGATGGCTATAGACCAGACGGTAATATACATCTAAAATGGCGCGTAAAGGCATACAATTCTTAACTCTTGAGAATGCATAATACCCTTGATTGGTTTTTTTACATACAACTGTAATATGGTTAGACCACTTCAAACAGTTGTCTACATGAACGCCAAGGAATTTTGTACAGCTTGCTTCATGAAGTTCTAATCAAACCTGTTTTGGAATCAAATATAGAGGTGTTCGTCTGATTGGATACCCAAATATTACCTGAAACCTTTTGATGGTTGAAAACATTCAAGGAAGGTTGAGCACTTTTTTTGATACTTTTAACCGGGAAGTGCTTACTCAGTGAACTACCCATCTCTTCAGGATTCAACTCAAATCACCTCAAAATACACTTTTCGGGAACATTATCATTTGCAGAATGGCGTTCTCATCAATTGCACTTCTTGAGACAGTTTTCCAAATGAATATATCTGCCACAATTCAAATGAAATGTAATTTGCAACAACTATTTTATTGTTTTTGGAGTCTAATATTGTCAGAATTTTAAAGTTGATATATCCATTTTGTGGGATTTTCGAAGTATGTGAAGCCGACGTCTGAAGAAGGCACAGAGATAAAATTCGGATTCAGCATCCAAAAAAAGTCTTAAGACCTGATAAGGAATCTACTTCTGTAATTTTTTCCTGAGAACTCCGTTCTCAAACTCCATACCCCCTTTCGCTCTTTTATTAATATTGTGATGTCATATTTCAGTAGCTGCATCTAATGGTTGTTTGTAAGTAACGTACATCAAATGGGAAGAAAGTTGAAAATCTGTTGTCATATAGGAATTGAAAAATAAATATTGGCCCGCCTGAGCATTGTCCTGAAATATTTCCGTCAAAAGTTTTTATATAATTTATTTGTAACTTTTGGGAAGTATTGTATAACACATATTAATTTTTTAGGGGACACATATGACACAGACACCCAAGATGAAGAAACCCTCATAGAATATCAACACTTTGATTCCCAAACAGTTGGAGAAGTTTGTGAAGAAAGTAATGATCCCGACAATTTCTTGAATCAACAAGATGATTCACAGGAAGGACACTATTCTAATATTTACATCACAAATGGTGACATTGAAGAGTTGTCCTGCAACACTGAGTTGCACCAACATATGATACAAGAAAATGTTCATTACCTGCAAGAAGAAATTCGCGACAATGATTCTTGCAATGAAGATTATGAAATAGTAGATGGTTTACCCGTGACAGGTAAGTCATATCTTCCTATTCTTAGTCTCCAGAAGAATACAGTTTCTAAGGATGTCAATATTCGCTGTTTAGTAATAATAATTTAAAAAAGATGACTCAAAACTTCTTATTTTGTCTATTTATGAGATTACTCAATGACATAGTAAAAATGTTCAGAGGCCCATTTTAACCATTATGAATTCATTTCAATATATTTATTTATTCATTTATAGACTTGCCATTTTACAATAAACATATAAATAGTGTAAGAGAAAAATAAATAATTGAACAATAATATAGAATATCAAGAATACAAAACATCAATTCATTATTAATAACAATAATCAGCAGTTATAAGCAGCAGAATATAAGGATGAATCAAATAAATCAATACAGATGCTCTTTGTATTTGCTAGCCTTAGCATTCTAGTAATGGATTAATTTAAGCCATAGCTAGTAAAATTGTATTATTTGAAATAATCCAAGATGTTGTCATTGTACTTTTTAAGTTACTCATGATTCTGTTTCATTGAAATAAGTTTCAATTGAAAGTCATGCTCAAACACAACACATTTATGATTCATCACCAGACAGTGCTATTTCAACCTGCCATAGGTTTCATCATTGGTGCTAGGCTGAATCACAAATGCAATGCTGGACACAACTGTCCTTGAAGGACAAATCTTAGTAAGTAAGAAGACGCCATCTATGGGATCCGCAGGGAACCCAATCCTCGAATATTAAAGATAATGGGGCTTTCCAAGGAGGTCAGTTGCAAAACTTCGACATCGACCGCAAACGAGTTTCGTCCTCTCTCTTTCTAAATGCGTTGTGTTTGGGTTCTGATTTTCAGCTAGTTACTTTGTAGTGAAAGATAAATAATTCTGAAATCAACGCCCTTATGAATATTAAAATTCATTGATAAACGTTCAAACCGTCACTGTATAGCAAATTAGATAAGGTTATGCCTCAATTTCCCTAAAATTAATAAACCGTCGATTACGAAACAGAATTAGTTCAAATATGGAGGATTCGATAACCTTTCTTTCTCAAGAAGGATCCTCTTATGTATTATATTATTTTTGAAATCCTTTCAATATGACTTCTCAAAGTCCCATTGACCAGAATCTTCTTGCAGACAACTCAAAAGTTATGACCACTTTTGAATAGTGGTAAAAGTATGACAAAATAATTTGTATAGGATTAGTCAAAGTTTCGAAAGTAAAAATAATACCTAGCCTAAATTTAAGTCTACAACATTCATATCACAAAATAGGAATATACATATATCGTAAAGTCTGAAATCAGTGCAAAAATTTATCATCTACAGAATAAAACATGATTCAATAAAAATGAAATCAATGATGATTTGAATAATTTAAGTTCAGGAATAGATTTCATAGTTGTTGTCGAGCATCAGTTTTAAAATGTTTTAAATTGCAGTATACAAATATACAGACTTCAAAAATGAAGAGGCATGGCAGAGTTAAGATTTTAAATTGTTTAAAATAATTCTCACAACTGGTTGTACTCGACACACCAGCAGTATAACGAATAATTTTTTTCTGGGAGATGAAATCATCATTAAATTTTGATGACACCCAAAAGACAATGCCAAATCTCAAGCGAGATTCTGCCTGAGCAAAGTACAGCATAATCAACTGGTCATGAGTAAGAACACATTACAAAGCATATAAATTACAGAATTCATATTTGAAACGACTGCCTCACAGTGTCTCCTCCAGTTAAAACACTCATTGACATAAAGACCCAAAAATTTCATACATGATATCTTAACAATATGATGATTGCCAATTTTGATGTTTGTATTAGCTAACTGTTTTTGTTTATTATGAAAGTGTAAAGCATGTGTTTTTTTTGCGTTCCTGCAGAACCACTCGTAAAGATTCGACAATATATTATTAGATTATGTTACTGAAGCTGCATTTGCTTTGTTAGATATCAGAATATAAGTGTCATCCGCATAAAGTGTGAAGTGTACTGATGAACTAATAGATGTTATGGTATTTATATATAGTAAAAATGAAACTGACCCCAAAACAGATCTTTGTGGGACACCCATAGTGATAAATATATAATCAGATTTACTGACATTTACCGATTTTTGCGTAATATTCGGAACACTAACGAATTGTTGACGTCCAGATGAATATGATTTAATCCACTTCAAGGACTGACCCCGAATACCAATTACTGTTAGCTTATTATCTAATAAAGTGTGATTGAATGAATGAATGAATGAACAAACGAAATTTATTAACCTCATGTTACGATTTATGTAACATTGTAAAATATTTGAAATAACAAAATTTGTTCAGGTCCATCATACAGGAAATATAAAAAGTATACATAGACATATACAGTATAACATACATATGTATATATACACATAAAAATGTACACTACAAATACTTTCTAAACAGTTAAGTCTCACTCATAGAAAGTAACAACTTAAGTGTTCATATCGTCGACACTTAACATTGCAGATTATTCTCTTTACCACAAGATTCTTTAACTGTTGTGTGTTGCATCTTACCAAAAAAAAAAATATATCAGAATTTTCAATTCCTCACAACCTCCTGGTTACATCTGAGATTAGGACATGAATACAATGAACACCCTATATTTCAATAAAATGTATGTGTGGTGTGTCATGACTCTCAAATCATTCATTGGTTTTTAGACTAGTTTAATGGATTTGGATTCTTCATTATCACTTATGATATCCAGATATTCCAATTTTTTAAACATTTTTTTTGTAGCGGAAGGGGACATCAGTGAAGCTTCCTCATCTTCACTTTATGATCAGGGTTCTTTGTACAATGAAATGATAATGCAGCAACTTCCTTCGCAAAAACAGAATTCCCCAATCATAACAAACATATTGAAACAACCCATGGACTCGAACACTGCCAGAAGTTCCAAAAAGAAACCGGTATTGTACTATATAGTTCACACTACAGACCAAAAGGAAAATGTTGACTCATTTCCATTAGGTGACGAGACCGTCGTTCCTTTAAAACCAAATCCGCGTAGCTTACTCAAAAACAATATTGAAATAAAACTTCAAAACGATAGTGAAGTTATGTTTGAGGAGGTTTACGAAAGGGAAAGATTACTAGAGAAAAGGTATGCACGAAGCAAGGAGGTTGTTCAAGCAAAACTCTTCAATAATTTCATCAATAAAACCACCATACCTCATGCTCCAATCAGGCAGATGAGGTTGCCTAGAAAACAAGAGATCAAACCAGTGGATACCAGGCTCAATGAGGAGATCATTGTTCAAGAAGTAATGGTGTCTTCAAAAGGTTTTTTCCAAAATGCAAAGGAAAGGCTTCAGAGCAAAGATAAATTCGAGGTAGGAAATTTTTGAAAATTTTTAATTTTTCTCTTGATATGGTGTGAAATGTGTATATTACTATGAGTTGTTGTTCATATGCTCCATTATTGTGAAGTTCAAAATTATAGCAGACTAAATAATCATGTTTATTTCTCTTGTTGGGAGTATAGAATTTCCTTCACAAAAATAGTATGCAGCAACATGGAAATTGTCATTTGCAGTTTGTAAAAATAACAAATGATTTAGTAGTCTGAACAAATTACATTACATCACAAAACTCACACTAATTTTTGAAATAGTTCAACCTCTTCCGAAACAGTGGGAAAAGTGAGAGGATTTTTTTTCCAAAGTATTTTTCCCAAAATAAATTCCCGAAGAAGTTTTTTTTTAAACAGTGGAGATCTAAAATCATAAGTACTAGACTATGTTAAAGCGTTACTTTGTCGATTTGATTCATTCATAGGTAAACCATGCATGCGATACACAGTCTGACAGTTCCAGTAACCATAATTCATCACTTTCATCGGCATTCTAAAGACTGCGAAAAATTGGTAAACCTGGCAACGTCAATAAGTTAGCAAAACTAGATTTCTCTGGTCTATGAAACCTTATTTGGTCTCCTTTTAACTCTACACATTTCTCCTTGCGATACTCCCATCTCCCGTCCAAATAGTACTTGGTGTTTTTCTCTGCAAAATAATTGTTCACGAAGATGATTGCCTCTTCATTTGACGAAAATCTCTGTCCTCCGAACACAATTTATAAATAGATATATTTTCACCACATTACATATATAAATACATTTATGGCATGTCAATATAGATGAGGGAAACAAAAATAAGTCGCTTGGGACTATATCTGGTAAGTGACGCGGATGATCAAGCAGTTCAAAGCGTAATTCGTTGATTTTCGCCATGGCGATCGTTGAGGTGTGAGACGGTTTCATGTCTTGGTGAAACTGGATTTTCTTTTTCTGTGAATCTTGAAAAATTTTGTTTTTCCGTTAACCATCTGTCGCCAACCTTTGAACGACAACTCTCAAAAGTCGAAACTTGCGCGAGCTAAGGACTAACGAGGTCTTACCTTTTTTCCCGTAAGTTCTGCCTTTAGCTTGTCAAATAATGATATGTAGTATGCTCCTGTAATGGTTTTTCCTTTATAACTCCATGACTATCCCAAAAAACCGTAGCTATCACTTTCCCTACCAAAAAAAAACAGTTTTTGCTTTTTTTGGAGCCCTTTGCAGTCCACAGTTTAGACTGTATTTTTATTTTGAGCGTATAATGGTGTATTCAAGTTTCATCTAGTCGCTAGCCGGTGCTAAAACTCGGATTTATTACGCATAAATTGCCCCAACAGAGCGTTGGAAATTTTCATTTGAACACTTTTTTGGTCGAACTGGAGCAAACAATGCCCTGATCACGCGAGCAGCTTTCTTGCGCCTAAATGTTGATTTAATATTTGATAAACAAGTTCTTTCGACAAGTTCCATAACCTCGGCTATCTCTATCACTTTGATTCGGCGGTAGTTCAGCATCATTTGATAATTTTGACAATGTTTTCGTCAGTAGTTGCAGTTTTTGGACGTCCCAAACGCTCATCCTCTCCCAACCTCTTACGGCCATGTTTAAATTAATCTACCCGAAATTTCACTGTGGTGAATGATGGTGCAGAGTCCACATACACAGAATCCAACTCATCTTTGATTTGAATAGGCATATTTCCGTTGAAAAAAATAAATGACAGCTCGATACTCAATTTTGTTCATTTTCATAAAAACACTGACATCAACTCACTCAAATAACTGTTACATAATAACTGCGCGTCCAAAATGGTTGAAACTTTGGTAAATAAACCAGATGAACAACGAAATTCACTAGCTTTTATTTAAGAGTGCTGCGATCTTCATGTTGAGGTCGGAAACTTTTCAGACCACCCTCGTACATAATAATAACTTGAGAATTTGTTTCAATGCTGGAAATTCATTTTAATACAGATTTGAATGTTCTATAAGTTGCATCCTATATGTATCTATACATTCATGGTTTTCAACTGAAAATTATAGACTTATTATTAATTATTGAGATATCGCTATGTTAAATCAATGGTAACATCATTGAATTTAACTTTACTGACTCTCAGCGTATAGTGATGTGTATTTTCATTGTTTGAATTCTCTCGTGTCTGCTATTTCTCTTTGTTATTCATAATTAACTAATGTATTTTTATAGGTTACTAGCATCGTTGAACTCAGTGACACCGACGATGAATACAATCCAAACAATAGCTCAAAGAAAAAAAAGAAACATAAAAAACCTGTACAGGCATCCGTTGTCACTTCCGAAGACTCTGACACTAGTGTGATAGAAGTTTTACATTCTGAGGAAGAATCAGAAAAACGTTTGAAAGATAAGAATGGTAAGAAATCCTCAGGCAGGCCTAAAAAAATCGTGAACGATGTTCTGAAAAGACCCAGAGGAAGGCCGCCCAAACACGATGGGAGTTCTCCTCAGAAAAAAAGTAAAACTGAGTCTAGTGAGGTAGAAAGTGAAAGTGGTAAAAAAAACTTCAAATGTCCCCATTGCCTGAAAACGTTTCCTAGTCAAAACAGTCTCAGCACACACATTCAACATCACAATTTGGAGAACAGTTTACGACAAAATAGATTCTCCAAGATGGAGTATAAACATAAATGCGACCAATGTGAAGAAAAATTCAAAAATAGCATTCTACTGAAGAAACACGTTTGCAAAACAAACTTGAAACTGAAGTGCAATATCTGTTCGAAAGAATTTAAAGATTTGTCATTGTTGAACATTCACAAAAAAACCCATATCAAGCAAAACTTGTTCAATACCACATCTACCGTTACAATTTCACCAAAAAAATTTCTACCGAGACCATCAACCAGTAAATTCAAGTCTCCCAAGAAAGAAGTTACTACTTACAAATGCCAACGCTGCTCAAGAGTCTGTCCCACTCAAGGTTCTCTTGCGGTACACGAGAAAAGCCACAAAAGCTTTCCGTGCACCAATTGCAAAGCGACTTTTGCCTCCAAGATTTTACTCGACAATCATGTAAGACTGACTTGCGTTAAGCAACCATCTCCACAAAACAGAAGGTTATCGTTCAAGATCAAGAAATCGTTTGTACAGTCTCCCCGAAGGTCATGTTTCAAAAGAAAAAGTGTCAATCCAGGTGTAAACTCGGAATCCATGAGCAGACACTTGGATATAGAAGTAACTTGTGATTCTTGTCCTAGTCAATTCAACACATTGACTGCTTTGTTCAAACACAAGGTTAAGGTGAGGTATTTTTATTCTTTCATGACATTTTTTTTTTCATCCCTCTGCATATGATGATTCAAATGATGGTGACCTGTAAGAAGGCCTGGTNCTCATCATAGACATTTCGAATTTTTGAGGGACACTATAAGAAAATGTAAGCATCTCAGTGTCATTTGTTGAGAAAAATAAAATTCTAAAATAACTAAACAATACAAATAGTGTCTGTATTACGAAATTTTCTGAATTTGTACACCGTCAAAAATACCTAACTTCGTTTGAATATAATAATAATAATGCCTTAATTTTTTCATTCCTCTTCGAAGTCCAGTATTGATACTGCTTTGCCTAAACAAAAACCTTTCACAAATTAGTATTAGTAAATACATTATAAATACTTGAGTGATAAATGCACATATTCAATAGTTGAATTAGATTCTCTCTTGGCAGCTCCAGTATTCAATTGCTCTCTCAATTCTCTCAGGTAGTTCCTTTGTGTTATTGTAGAGTCAAAATTGATTTTGGTCCCAGTTTGACGAATTTTGTTTATGTTACTCAGAATAGTCAGTACATCATCACTATTATTCAATTATAAACTATCAGGTTATTAGCTCTTTTGCAGCATTCTTCTAATTCAAGCATGAATGTTTTTATATCGAATGTTGAACTTTAAGGAGTTACTACCGGATGAGTTGACCAATTCATTTATTTTGGTTTTCAAAGCTTCAATTTGACCCCTTTACTGGTAGAAGTTTGAGACCCTCAAGGCAAACTTCATAAAAGAATTTGAGAACCCTTTTTATTCTTGAAAACGTGCACTTGATTTCGGATATAGTTAAATCAGCACAGATGTAGTGTATTTTCATGTGACATTCATCACATTAACAAAATTCATCAGTGATAAGCAAGTTGCATTTCAGACACTCCATAATTAAAGTTGAGATTGTGGCTACACCACTATTCAGGATGTTGAAAGAAGTCCTTTATTCACTTATTCCTATCTACTGATTAGTAGCTAGGGAACAAAAATTAAGGTTTTTTTTTTACAAATTTAGCTAGAACTGTATCTTTGAAATTGTTTGTGTTGTATAAATTATCTGATATGTATTATGCATTCGATAGATCCTGAAGAATTATTGTCTCATTGAAGGCCCAATATTCAAGGAACGAACTGTGCAAAAATAAACTACAGCTTATTATACACTGCAACTCATTAATTAACGTTTTTAAGTGCATCCAAAAATAGATATCAACTCTCTGACTGTTCACAGTGACTGTGTAATAATAATGATACTGAGCACAGATGGCATTCTAACATCTGAGGCCTTTGAGGACTTGCAATACCACTTAACAAAGTGCATCCAGGAGGGAAAAATCTACTCTCTCTCTGAAGCTGGCCGGTAAACTCAATAACCGCCTCCTGGAACATGAGACAGGGAATCCCATAACTGACCCAATCAGGGAGATTAGAAGTAAGGTGGTGGGGTCCAAACCTAGAATTGCTTACACACAATACGACTTCATTGAGCAATTCACAATAAAACAAGTAATTACCGAGAGCCAAGTTTGCTTATTACTTAATGGCAATTATTTTCCATATATTTCAGTAATAAGAGTTTTGCAATTGGTTTTGGAATTGAGCAATTTATGTTGAGCAACTAATGTCTATATGACTTCCACGAATACTCTTTCGGTACAGGTAGTTGTTTTAGAAGGAATATCTGGAAGTGAGTAATCACTTAGAGGCATTTTAAGTTTGAACACAATGTATTTTAGATCAAGTATGGTAAAGTGATGAAGGGATTGAAAAAAAAGAACATTTTTTTGGGCATTCAGTCACAATGGCATCCATGAAATTATCAGTACACTCCATGAACAGTGTAATGTCATGAGTGGTTGACAAAAATACTAAATAAATATGATCATAGTGGTTGGCTTCTCTGTGGTACCCTCGAGCTAATAGGGATTCCTTGAGACATATATTTATTTATGTATACGGGTAATCCCCATGAGGAAAAAGAAATAATACAAATGCAGTATTACCTTAAAACTAACTCAATAAATGTAGACATATATCAATGTAAATATATGAAATTCAAATGATGTTAACTTGAAATTATCATCCTAGCTGGTTATATATTTTATTCTGTTGCTACACTATTTTTCAAAAGTATTCAGTGAAATTCCTTTAATGTCACAATGGGGAATGTTCCTCCTGACGAAAATCAAGTAGCTTTCATAAAAGAGCTCTAAAACAACGCATTTTAAACTTATCATTTCAACCTTTTTCTTTAAAAAATTATTTAAATACTTAAAAAAGAGGAATGAAAT